GCACTCACTAACCAAAAGTTTGATGGTTCAAACCTGCCCAGCAGTTCTGTGGGAAAAAGACCAGGCAGTTTGCTTCCATAAAGATGACAGCTTATCAGGCAATTCTTCTCTGTCGTATAGGTTCACTGTGAGTCAAAAACTGATTCATTAGTATTTAACAACTACAATTATAAAACATGTCATTTTTAAAAAGAATTTTTTTGGGGAGAGAGATAATTTTAGATTTATCTCATACAGAGTTTCCATATACTTTCCATTCAGCTTTCCCCTCTATTATATTAGTATAGCATGTTGTTGTTAAGTGCCGTATGAGGCGACTCATAATGACCCTTTGAATGAAAGCCCTCAACACCTGCGTGACTTTTATCCTTTCTCCAGGTTCATAGGCTTTCCAGAGGCAAGCTATTTACAGAAGTGGATGCCACTTCTGCTTCCAAGCTTATTTTAACCCGGGAGCTGTTAAACAAGTATGGCATACTTGTTAAAATATCAAGTAATTTTTTTAGATAAATTCAATTGCTGTTGAGCAAATTCTGACTCTTAACAACTCCATCAGAGGAGAACTCCCTGTAAGGTTTCCAAGGCTGAAAATCTTCATGGGAGCGAATTGCCTCAGTTTTCTTCTGTGGAGCGGCTGGTGACTTCAAACCACTGACCTCTTAGTTAGCAACTCAGTACTTAAGCCACTGTCCCACCAGGACTCATTTTGAGAGAACTAATGGTATTTCTGTGTTTCCACTCTGGTGACCCTTCATTAGATTTCTGAACTTTTTTATAAGGAGCAGCTGGTGGATTCAAACAGCACTCTACTACTAAGGCTTCTTCCACTTGAGATAGGTGGAGCATATAAAGATGGGCAATCTCACCCCCACTCTTCCATCCCCACACAACCTCTGAAAACCTGCTGGAGGGTCAGCTGTGAGTCATTTCCAACTTGATAACACATAGCAACTAAAAACAACAATATATAAGATAACAAAATAAAGTTGCTTTATCTATATAGTTTTAGTGTCACTTTCCCAAATAATATTTACATGTTATAGCAGCCTTTTACTAAAAGGACTTGGTAGAAATAATAGGTTAAACTACATTCATGTAGTTTTACCTGTTACCTGCTTTGAACACTGCGGATTTCATTTGGCTCACTCTAATATTTGTACGTAAAGAATCAGTGGGGGTCAGCTTTTCTTAATGTCATTGGTTATTTTCTTGTAGAGCTGTTGAGTGTGTTTGAACAGCCAATGTTTTGATGAGCCACCAAGTGCTTAATTGTCACACTACGATTGGATCCCTGAAACTCCTACTGTGTGTGCAAAAAAGCCTGGTTTGAAGGGACCTCTGGTGGCCTCGTGGCAAGAAGCTGCACTGCAATTCCAGAGGTACGCAGTTCAAATCCACCAGATGCTCTGCAGGAGAAGGAGGGGCAATCTCCTCCTGTACCAGTCAGATCTGATTTGACGGTACACACACACACAAAATAATAAAATAAAAACTGGAGGGGGCGGAAAAAAAGCCTGGCTTGACCCTCACACTATTTAGAGAGAAAACACTTCTCACCTCCCTTGGAGCAACTCAGATCTACCCTTATTGTTGGGAGAGTAGAACATTGGTAGAATCCCTGGGATAGAGAGCAGTTTCCTGGGAGGTTTATACCCCTCGCCAGAGGAAGAGTTTGAGCTCAGAAGAATAAGCATTTCACAGAGTAACTGAGAGGCAGTTGACACAGCTTTGGTAGAAAAACTGTCATTGCTATTGAGTTAAAATTGACTCATAGCTGATCCTCCAGGGGGTTTTCCCAGACTGTCAATCCTGTGGGGAGCTCTTTTTCTGTCATTGGAGCTCTGATGGCCTTGTGGTAAAGAGTTGTGCTGTCATTCCAAAGGCATGCAGTTCAAATCTACCAGCTGCTCTGGGGAAGAAAGATGGACAATCTCTTCCCATACGATTAGACTGCCTCTGAAAACTCGCTGGAAGGTCAGCTAGAGTCAGTTCCGACTTGATGATACATAAAAACAAATCATATGGGAAAAGATTGCCCATCTTTCTCCTGTGGAGCATCTAGTGGATTTGAACTACCAGAGAGCCACACCACCTTTGAGTTGGGCTCAAATCCATACATACTATGCCAGAGAAAAAGAGGCAGAAAAGGAGAATTTTGAAATATAGGGAAATGCATTGTTTCCCCTGATTATAGGCTAGGAAGAGGACACTTGAGTGTTTGTTCCAACAAGCCTTTATTCATGTCACTCTCTTCCCTCTTTGCACTTTTCTCTGTTGCTTAATCCAGTCTCTGCAAGCTCAGTTATCTTTATTTGCCAAGCAGAGAATGTAAATGAGCAAAGTGAGGGTTTTCACTATAAACAACAGCACAAGTGGGATGATAAATGATCATGGAAATCTGGAATCAGTGTGAGGGAGACAATAGACAAATCTCTAGAGCCAGAGATTTGAATTTTCATATGCTCAATAGTGTATGTTGGTACTTAACTTTGAATGTTGAAAAGCCATTGTGTGGGCCACACAATAGTAGAAAACAGCTTACAGTCCTCTAATGTGTAACCTCAGGCCAAGTTTTATATTTGCCAGGAGTGAGACCCATACATTACTCTTCATTCTGCATTGTCCATGAAGTACTAAAATGAGTTAGAGACAGCCACTGCCTCTGAAACACAGGTTTAGTAGAGAAGACAGATAATAACAATAGAATGTAATTCAAGTCAGTTATGAAATGGTAACGTCTTCCTGATTATATCTCAGAGAGCATGATAGGAGGCGGGTAGGATAGGAGATAAACAGTTTTGTACATCAAAGAGATTTAGGATTTCTGAAATCCCCCTTATTGTGCAAATGTGAGATTTGCATTTCCTCTGTGCAACAGTGTTTTGCTCTGTAAGAGAAATGTAGACAGTCTCTTCCCATGCCGTTTACTGCCTCTGAAAACCTGCTGTAGGGTCAGCTAGGAATTGGTTCTGAATTGAAGGATTCTGACATAACAACAACAACAATAGTATCTTGACTTTTTTGTTTGTTTAAATATCCACCAAAACTCATTGCAGTAAAATCAGAAACAACTCATAGCTGACTTTCAAGTAGGTTTTCCAAGGCTGTAAATCCCATGGGAGGAAATTGCCCATCTTTCTCCCTCGGAACAGCTCGTGGATTTAAACTTGCAGAGAAGCACGCTTTGGATCAGCAGCACTCCTCCCTACAGACTATGCCACCCAAGCTCCCCTGGTCTCTTGGTAGGGAGTTAGAAATACAGACATTTCTTAAATTAATCTTGCTGGTGGGAGTTTCAGGCTAATAAAATGTAAAGACTCTAACTTGTCCTGTTTTTTTACCTACCCCCTCCTATTATTATAAGATTATCTTGGTCTGAGAAAGTCCGGGGGCATGTAGCTGGGTGCCCTCATTACTGGATGAACCATGGAAGGGAAGTGACATGCCTGAGGTCATAGAGTCCATTGAGGCAGGGCTTGGATGAATACTCAAAGCACTTCCTGGACACTGTGCTGTTTGCCTTCCTTTCCTGCCTTTGGCCTGTTGTCTTGTGTGGCTCAGTTCTTGGTGGTTAAAGAGGGTTTGGCATTATTGGAATAGATTCTTTCTACCTTCTTATTTGTGTTCCCTCCCTGGAGTGCCTGCCACCCTTTTTCTCTATCATAGAATCAAGCTATGTACCGTTGACTCAGAACCAACTCATAGCTGACCTTCCAGTGGGTTTGCAGAAGCAGTAAGTCGTGTGAAAGGATATTATCCAGCTTTCTCATATGGAGCTGGTGGATTTGAACTGCCTGACTTTGGCGTGGTAGTACAATTCCTTACCATTAAGCCACTAGATCTCCCAGAGAGTCAAACTACTTGTGTTCAAATCCTAAGTCTTCCAGATACTAGCATGTATCCTGAAACAAGTTGGTTATCCCTTCTAAGCCTCAGTTTCCTCATCTAAACATCAAGAAGGCTTTTAGGTTTTAAGATCCTTATGTTGACAAAATAATGTAATACATTTTCACACTTAACCAAATGTATTAACTATTATGATGATTCACACAGCCCACAGCCCCAGGCTGGGCTAAGTACCCTTTCTTACTCATTGCCATTGAGTTGGTTCCAATTCATAGTGACACTAAAGGTGACTGTCACACAGGGTTTCCTTTACAGAAGCAGATTGCCCCATCTCTTCTCTGGTTGATAATGAGTTGTGCTACCAACCCAAAGGCAGGCTTTTCGGGTCTAGCCTTTGAAAATTCGCTGGAGGGTCAGTTATGAGTCTGTTCTGACTTGGGGGCAGTGAGTAGCAGGAACCAGGGATATAATGGTGAACCAGGAGGCAGGGTCTAGTGTAGAGCTTGTCTTCTGGTCAAATAAATTTGAAAAATGCTCATCATGGCCCACTCTTCGAGATCACCAGTAAACCAGTTGCTGGTGAGTCAGTTTGGGTGGACTTGAATTTCCAGCCCTTTTCTGTTTGCAGTTAGAGATGTTAACCATTTATATCACCCAGACCTCCTTTAGAGATCCACTAAAACCACATAGTCATTGGGTCAGTGCTGACTCAAAGTATCTGTATTAAAGTTGTTGTTGTTGTGTACCAGTGAGATGGAACTGACCGATAGCTGATTCTCCAGTGGGTTTTCAGAGGCAGTTAATTGTTCAGGAGGAGATTGCCTGCCCTTCTGCAGAGCAGCTAGCAGACTTAAACTGCGTGTCTTTGGGATTACATAGCAGATTCTTCCCATTAGGCCACAAGAGTGAATCTTTAAGGTTCTGAGGACTCCCATAGCACAAGAGCCCATTTATTTGCTGTAGCCCAGCTTTACCAGGCTTATTGAGTGTTTAATGAATACATTTGAGTCATCTAGAATAGTCCTTCCACCTCCACTGTGCTTTGGTTTGCAGCTCAAAAGGAGATCTGAGTGGCCCCGCAATGGTTAGAGACCCAGCTAGAAGTGAACCACCTCTGGCTGCCTAGGGGCCTGTTGTCTTGCACTCTGGTACCCATGGAGACAGGAGGCCCTGGGCTGAACACCATGAAGCCCAAGTCACTGCAGCTGGTGCTGGAAGGGCAAGTGCTGGCACTGCAGCAGCAGATGGCAGAGAACCAGGCAGCCTCCTGGCAAAAGCTGAAGAGCTCCCAGGAGGCTCAGCAGAGGCAAGCAATCCTCGTGAGGAAGCTGCAGGCCAAGGTGAGTCAGCTGCGCCTTCTGGGAGGGCTAAGGAGAAGCTTTTCCTGGAGGTACTGGCTTCAGGAGGCAGAACCATGGGGGTGGGAATGGCCCAAACTAGCTTCATGAGGCTAGGAATCCAGGCCTGCTGCTTTTCTGTTACAGGCTCTCCTGTGATGCTGACAGCTACTCTGTGAACTGTGTACTATAACCCTTTAGAGAGGAGGCTTCAGGGGCCATATTAGTTATTCTAGGCCTGACTAGAGCTATTCTAGTTCCAGAGCCAATATAGGAGGCCGTTAGGAGTATTTTTAAATGCCCACATGGAAGCTGTAAGCTGTGATGGCCTTTCCTCACTCTTATCACCCAGTTCCCCTACACAAAACAGATTTGCCCACAATTTCTGCAGAAGGAGGATGTGGGTGAATCTCTGGTCTGAGCTCTTTGTGCCAGCAGAGCCCTGTTACCCAGGGCCTGCTCTATTTGCCTCAGGTGTTGCAGTACCGGAGTTGGTGCCAAGAGCTGGAGAAGCGTCTGGAAGCCACTGGGGTAAGTGATGTGGAGTTCTGTGCTCCCCAAGAGATCTAAATGAATACACTTGCTAAACTTTATTCGCAGACTGAGGGAGGCTGGGTAAAAAGTGTTTAATAGAAATCACTCTTCAAGCTTTATTACACAGGTATCCCCATTGGACCTAGCTATTCTCCGTCTCTCATATTCCAACCTTTTGCTCTCTTAAGTATGAGATATAACTCTAAGAGACTTAGTCAAATTGGAGTAAAAACCGATTGCTGTTAAATTTATTCCATCTCGTGATGATTAACTTCATCTCACATATTGTTGTTGGGCATGTTGTTAGGAGAGGCTAGTCCTTGGAGAGGGACATCGTACGTGGAAAGGTGGAGGGTCAGACAAAGAGAGGGAGGCTTTCATCCAGATGGACCGACACATTAATTGCAGCAGTGGGCTCAAGTGTGTCAGAACTGAGGAGGATGGCACAGGGCAGGATAGGGTTCAGTTCTGTTGTTCATAGGTTTGCTAGTAGTTGTACTTGACTTGATGGCATCTAACAACAATAGCATGATTATTCTAGGTTTATGAGAATAGAGCTATGCTTAGTTGACCAGAAAATTTCTAGTGGCTTGTTTTTCAGACCTAGGACAAGGCTTTCTGCCAAAGCTTCTCTAGGTGTGCTTGAACAACTGACTTTTTGATTAGCAACTCACTAACCATTTGTACCTATCAGAGACTCAGATCTGAAGAAGTGAAGAATTAGAGCGAGGAAAATGTGTTTTCCCCCCAGCAGGTGTCAGTATTTATCTGTTTTAGAAACATGTTTGCCTGAGGGTCCAAAAACCATGTTTGTGTCCATGGGATTTGTTTCTCAGTAACTAGAACTGGCTTTGAGAACAAGTCATTTTTGTCTTTGTTCCAGCTCTCTTTCTGCATTTTGTTTCATTCCCCTCTAAAAAGTTCTCTCAGAGGAAGGAGGTAGGGGAAAGAAAAAAAAATCAGGATTTGTTGAATACCTTCTGTTCCTCTCATTTGCTCCTCAGTCAAGTCAGAACCAACTCAAAACTGACCCTTCAGCAAATTTCTGAGGCTATAAATTGCATAGTAGGAAATTGCCCATGTTTCTACCTCAGAGAGGCTGGTAGATTCAAACTGCCCAGAGAAGAGCAGTCTTGGGTTAGCAACACAACTCCCCCTGGAGTATGCCACCAGCACTCAATAGGCACCGTCATATACCAGTGTCACTTAATATGTACAAAGTGACTTTTTGAAATACTTTTACTTCATTTTGTAGCAGAAATCACTCTAATGCAGAAAAGTCCAGTCATTTTCCAAGGTCTAAAAGTTAATAATAATGGAAGTCGAGGCCATTAGTGAAGAGGAGTATTTTATTATTGTCAGGTTGCAGGTTCTTTTCCATCTTCCAGAAGGGGTCACTGGTTCACTTTGGGAAAGAGAACTGCAGTGGATTGTCTTTTAGGATGTGATGATGAATAAGAGAAGGATAATGCTAAAAAGGGGAGAGAAAAAGAAAGTGGGCTGGTATTGAAGGGGCACTAGAGAGTTGGTCTGAGGTAAATAAAACTTCTCTCTCTGGCCAAGGGACCAATCCCCCAGAGGTGGGAGACTGCGGAGGAACCAAATCTGGAACAGCTGCTAATCCGATTGGAGGACGAGCAACAGAGGTGATGGCGCGCATGTTCTCTGCCCGGGGTGATTGACTGCAAGGTTGACAAGGCTGATGGGAAGCCTCCATCCTAAGGGCCAGCATGGCTTAAAACTGGGGACTTCAGCCTTAGCCATTACTTCCTAGTGTTGGAAAATTCCAATGGTTGTCATCTTATTCCAAGAGGTCCAAGGGTTGGGCCAGACTCATTCTTTTGCACTTGCTCCCACCCTTCCCCAGCACAGGTGTGAGAGTCTAGCAGAGGTGAACACCCAGCTTCGGCTGCACATGGAAAAAACTGACGTGGTGAATAAAGCTCTGCGAGAAGATGTGGAAAAATTGACAGTGGACTGGAGCCGAGCCCGAGATGAGCTAATGAGGAAGGAGAGCCAGTGGCGAATGGAGCAAGAGGTAGGCAGAGGGGAGCTAGAATGTGGGCACTCTGGGCACTGCCCTGGTCAGCAGTGGAGTGGATTAATTTAAGGCTTGGATGGAAACTGAACTGCCACAACTTCTACAGGCAGCTCTGGCCTCCTGGGCCGCACTTTAGTTTTGCTGTTACCTCTCTAGTCTCGGTTTTGCTGGAAAATTACATAGCAGTTCATTTCCTGCAAAAGGGATTAGCTTAGGTTTGATAGATCTGAAAGCTTACTGACACCCTTAGTCTATGGATCTGGTTAGGGTTTAAAAGACTAGATATAGGCCCTGGGACACATTTAGATCTTATTTGAAGGAAGATGGGAAATCTCCTCCCTTGCAGTTTATAGTCTCTGATAACCTCAGCTGTGAGTTCTGACACGATGGCATGTAACAATGCTTTCTGATCCTCTGCTTTGTGCTGGGTATTATATAGATTATGTCACTCAGTTCTCATTATAAAGCTATGTAATCTATTCATAACCTCGTACCATAGATTTCTAATGAGAGTTGAATAATAATGAGAGTTCTCAATTCTTTAACAGCTAGTGCATGTCAGGCTCTGTACTTAGCACTTGACATTTGTTATCGCTGTACATTTTCATCTTCTCCACAGCCTTATAATATACAGAAGTTATTATCCTGATTTTACAGTTAGGGAAATTGAGAGAACCATGTTTGTACCATAAGTCACTCAATGAAAAAGTGGCAGGACCTGGAGTCTGGCTCTTGTTGCTATGATACATTGCCTCTAAGATTTCTCCTGAGGAAGCTGATAAGCTATCCTATGGTTCTGAAAAGAAATAGATTGAAGTGTGTAATTATTTGTCTTGCTGCTCAATTATAAAAGTAATATATGTTTTTTTAAAGGCAAGGCTTATTGGTCCAGTAGAAATTGTTGGGACTCCCGAGATTATGGCCTTTTGTCACCCTTCAAATCTAGAATAAAACTTAGTCCCGTTACTTAGCTTGCAGTCAAACAATAAACAGGCCAGTAAGGTGACCGGTTAGTGTTGTTAGGTACCATTGAGTCAGAATCGACCCATAGATGCCCGTCCAGCAGGTTTTCAGAGGCAGTAAATTGCACAAGAGGAGATTACTCGTCCTTCTCCAGCGAAGCAGTTGGTGAATTCAAACTGTGTGCCTTCAAGTTATTAGCACAGGGCTTGTCTGTCAGTTTGCTGTGGTAGGTAGCTTCTGAGTTTCTGTAGTGTTGGAAGCTGTACCACCGGTATGTTAAATGCCAGAAAGGACATCCATGGTGGAGAGGCTTTAGCAGAGCTCACAGATTAAGACAGACTAGGAAGTATGATTCTCCATCTACTTCTCAAATAGCAGGTCTTTAGAAACCCTATGAAAAATAAAGGAATATGGGTAGCTCTAGTTTTAATGGTAGAGCCCAGATTGGAAATCATGTCAGAAATGATAAGGCTGGCACAGGAAAGGATATAGTTCAGATCTATTGTTCATAGGGTTGCTGTAAGTTGTCTTAACTTGACAATATCTAACCACCACCACCACCACAACATATGATGACCAAAATACCAGGCATTCATTCCTTAAAATAACCAACCATTTAAAGTCAAAAGGGCAGCATTTGCCTAAGACTAAAACCCACAGGGTAGGAAGGGGTGGGATAGAAAGATTAATGAAAATAAGAATTAAAAAGAGGAAGTGTGAAAGTGCAGTTATAGTGTATTGTATATAATTAATGTTAAAAATCCAAATGTATTTGAGGGATTGGATGAAAAATCAATATGCTTTGTAAACTTTCACTCAAATCACACACAAGAAAAAGTAGTACATATTATAGAGAATTTGAAAGATGTCAAAAAGAATTAAAAATAAAACAAAAATCATTTAAAATCTCACCATCTAAAGGTAAACATAGTATTTTTTTATGTTGTTATCTGATTTTTTTCTCTGTGCATGTTTGTGTATGCATATGTGTGTGCTTGTATGTGTATACATTATTTATACATGTTGTTGCTGAAAAGCTCCGGTGACCTGGTGGTAAGGAGTTGCACTGCCAACCTAAAGATGTGAGATTTGAATCCACTGGCCACCTTGTGGGAGAAAGATGGACAGTCTCCTGTTGTAACCTCTGAAAGCTTGCTGGAGGATCAGCTATGAGTCGGTTCCGACTTGATGGCAATAAATTGTTTTATATCAACTCAAGTTCATAGTAGAACTGCCCCATAAAGTTATATAGAGGAACTAACTGGTCATTTCAAACCACAACTTTCCATTAGTTGCCAAGTACTTAACCACTGCACCACTTGGGCTGTAAACATTCATATAGTACATCCGGAAGTGCTTTATTTGGCTCCTATTGCCTATTAATGCAGGAAGCTCAGGTGGCATAGTCCTTAGGGAGCAGCGCTGCTGACCCAAAGGCCACACCTCTCTGGTGGTTCGAATCCACTAGCAGTTCCTCAGATGGACAATCTCCTCCCAGGTAGTTTACAGCCTTGGAAACCTGCTGGAGGGTCAGCTATTGAGTTCTGACTCACCAGCAATGACTGACTGGCCTATTAATGGATACTCTCAAGCTGGTCTGTCTCCCTTACAAAATACTGTTTAGAACTTCCCATGTTTTCTACCCTTGTTGATGTCACAGCACACCAAACTATGGTTTTGCTGTGGTGGTTACTCTTAGAGGCCACAATTGCCACATATTAATGACACCTCTCTGAAATCGTTCCTATGTTCAAGATTGTCAGAGTGCTTGTGCATGATACCATCTCCTAAGGTCTTTGGGGAGAACTTTTCTGACCCAACTCAGAGGAAGGCTGTATTTCCACCCCAGGCCCTTGACCCCTTGGCTCCCACTGCCAACTTCACTAAACCCTTGTGAGCTGCCATTGTTAATCATTTCCTACAAGTACCTGCCTCCATACCCCAATAGGCAAGAGAAATCTAAGACTCCTATATTGATAAAAAATAATCCTCTGCCATGTGGTAAGACCTGGATTTCTGAACACACAGTTCTTCAAAGGCTACCTGAAAGGGGAGCATGGTCGCCTTCTCAGCCTATGGAGGGAGGTGGTGACCTTCCGACGCCACTTCCTGGAAATGAAATCAGCCACTGACAGGTTGGTGTGGGGGATAAGAAGGGAGGAGGCTTGGCCCTACCAAATCTGGACCTGGGGTGATGGGCTATTTACAGAAGGGCACATCAGGGCACTGGGGAGTTGAGAGGAAGTTATGACATTAGGAAGACTTGTTGAGATTGGTTTTATTTGGAGTCCATGTGTAGTAGAAATTATTAACCCACTGAGCTACTAATTGAAAGAGTGGAAGTTTGAGTCTATCCACAGGTACATTGGAAGAGAGGCTTGACAATCTACAAAAATCAGCCTAAAAGAAAAAAAATCAGCCTGTGCGAACTCTATGGATCTGACACATACAGCGTTTTCATGAGTCAAAATTGACTCAATGGCCATTGGGTTTGGGACAGATAATTGTAGGAGTCCGATGGTTTTTCCCAGTTAGTTTTCGTTGGGCCTGTGTTTCCTTCCCCAGTCCCTCCTGGAATCTGCTCTTTTTCTTGTTTCCACTCAGAGATCTGACAGAGCTAAAGGCCGAACACATGAGACTTTCAGGGTCCTTATTGACCTGTTGTCTGCGCTTGACGGTGGGAACACAGTCACGGGAATCCAATGGGTCTGGGAAACTGGATGGGAAAGAGCCAGCCCAGTTACTGCTGCTATTAGCCAAAACCCAGGAGCTGGAGAAGGAAGCCCATGAGAAGAGCCAGGAGATATTACAGCTGAAGAGTCAAGGGGATCTGGAGAAAGTCGAGCTTCAGGACCGGTGAGAGTGGTTCTGGGAGGAGCTGACTGAAAGCAAGCCGACTCCACGGGGATTCAGATACAGGCAAGGGAGATGCCGCCATGAGAAAGGGAAGGAGATGTGCCATGGGCCATCTAGTTTTAAACCTGATGTCACAATTGGGGCCTGTTGTTAACCTCTTGCCTCTATCATGCAACTCATTTTCTTTCCTACTGATGTATAAGGGAGCTCTGCCTGGCATATCCCATAAAAGTGGCAATTCAAATCCACTTGCTTCTCCAAGGGAGAAAGATGGGCATTCTCCTCTTGGGTGATTTATAGCCCCTGAAAACTTGCTGGGAGGTTAGCAATGAGTTAGCAATGACTTGATGGCAGAGAGTTTTGGAAAATATTGATGGATAGAGCCAGCTATGTCTCTACATTTGTTTTATGAACACCAGGCTACTTGCCATCCCCTGGACAGCCAAGCTCTTCTATGTTTCCTGCCTTTGTACATGCCGATCTTAACCCATGGTGCCCCCCTCCCTCCTCTCTCTGCCTAATCATTAAAGGTATAGTTCAAATGCCATCTCATCTGGGAAGCCTTCTGACCAGTGGTTGTTACTGTTGTTGTAAGGTTCCACTGAGTCAAGCACGACTCATTTGCTTTTAAGTTCTTATACCACTGTGGTCTTCCCACTTGTTTGTTATAACACTAACCTTATTTTATTATAATGAAGATTTAGTATCCCCTCTTTTTCTTTGGCTGTTTCAATTTTTCCATTGTCTTAAAAGGTTGGGTAGCATCAAGTCCATACTGACTCATAGAGTCCCTATAGACAGAGTAAAACTGCTCCGTAGGGTTTTGAGTCTCAAGTTTTTTTTCTCCTATAAAGTCACTGTTGGGTTTTAGAACATCAGGCTTTTAGTGAGCATCTAACCTTTGCATCACCAGGGATCCTTATAATAAAATATATTTTTAAATAAGTAATAAGATAAATAGGGCCTTAAGCAGAAAACCTCATTTGAATCTCCAGCCTAAGTTCCATTTTTGACCCGTAACTGGAGCTGTGTTACCACCTGCTGGCAGCATACAAAAATTGCAGGGGTTTTATTTTGGTTTTTGGCAGAGGAGGCACTGAGAAGCACCAGGGTAGAGGCTGAGTCTTAGTAAGTTTTTATTTCTAGTGCTTTGCATTACATTTACATTCAGTAAATGTTTGATGAATGATCCCAAAGTATTTCTCATTCAGTAAATATTTATTTAGCCACCCATGTAATACCAGGCTTCAAAATTAAGTGGTAAGTGATAAAGATATTTTGGAGATGTCTCTGAACTTCGATGTTAATGTTCATAACTAGATGAACCGTACTCTCCCCCCAGATTGTCATCCTTTTCTCCTCTGTCAGAGTCAGAACCTTGGGCTGGAGGGACCTTGGGACTCTCCCATGTGGCAATTCTCATATTCTTATTGGCTTCAGGGTGCTTGACTTCAAGATCAAGTGGGTCCTGCAAGGGCCTGGGCCAGGGCTTCCCTTCAGCTCTCAGGCCCCCAAATGCGTGTTCCAGCCTTGACATGTGGTAAATCCCTGCATGTATTCTGAGTGGCTTTTGGCTTTCCCCGAGTTCAAGGCTTTGGCATCATGGGTACCCAAGGGACTGTGGGCAGGCTGCCGTGGGCGTGTCTGTGTTGGGGTTTGCGGTAGCTTTAGTCACAGCTATAGGTGGCCCAGGTGACAGTGCCATGCTCTTCCTTTTAGGGTAACTGAACTCTCTGCCCTGCTGACCCAGTCTGAGAAGCAAAATGAAGAATATGAAAAGATGGTAAAGGCTCTGAGAGAAACAATGGAGATCCTGGTATGTATTCTTTTATTCTGGAAGCAAACTGGAAATGGCCTTGTGAGCCCCTTGTTTTTTATGGACAGGTGGCACAGGGTACCAGTTAAATGTTCCTCTCGAAAATCACTAAAATAAAAAAAAAATAATTGTGTCTGAATCTGGAATTTAATCACTCATTTATTTGTCCAACAGATACTGCATACATAACTGCAATTCCTATCTTGTCCCTATATATGTCTGCATGTAGTAGGCCCTTATCAGAAAGAAGTGGCACACAAATTAAGAAACATGTGTGCAACCTAGTGAATTATCATGAATGTGTAGAGAAATGAAAAACTTCGTCATATGTGAATCTAAGGGATATGACGGTGATTAGCCTGGAGAAGAAAGAACTTGAGGAAGACTTACTGGCTGATTTCATGTATCTGAAAGACTAACAATGGAGATGACAGAATGGCCTTGTTTAATGTTTTCTAAGTAGGCAAACCCAGCAACAGTAACCAGAGGTTTTAAAGTGGCTAACAGCTAGACCTGTTTAACAGCTGAATAATCTGTCATGTAACTCAATGAGGTTTGTATCACTTACTTGCCAAGGATGTTGTCAAAGGGATTCTTAAGATAGGACAGTAGAACCTCTAACCTCTGGCTTGATTCCAAGTGTCCTTTCATCCCTAAGAGTGTTCAGATCTCTGCATTTAGGTAGACCCTGAATCTCTCTACACTCTCACACTCACATCTCTAATCTCATCAGACTCACTTATACCGATTTTGGTTTGTTTGGTGCAAGACAGACTTACATGTGTGTAGGACCTAGATGATGGAAAGGAGTGATGGAGGTTTGGCTGAAGAATTCTGACTTCCTAGTGCTATCATATTTAGGTTTTGGTACTGCAAGAGACACGACCTCAGTGGAAACGCTGAAGATTGGTTGGGACTGCAGGAAGCACAAAGCGCAAGTCTTAATATCTAAAGGAAACACACTGGGCAGCCTCAGTAAATTGGTGCCACTTGTTAAGATTTTGAGGAAAGCAAAAATTCAGATTTTTTTGAGTCTGTATGTTGTTGTGTTCTGGGGAGTCACTTCTGGCTCATAGTGACCCCATATGTAGAACTGCCCCAAAGACTTCTTGGCAGTAATCTTTATGAAAGCCAGGTCTCTTCTCTGTGGAGGTCTTTCTTCTTTTGCTTAGTGGCCAACTGCTTACCTCTTACACCACTTGGGCTCCTTGGATTAAAAGTATGGGAGCTCTGGTGGCCTAATGATAAGAACCTGTTCTGTGATCGTGAAGGTACACAGTTCGAGGCCACCAGCTGCTCCCCAGGAGAAGGATGGGCAGTCTCCTCCTGTGTGATTAACTGCCTCTGAAAACCCACCAGAGGGTCAGCTGTGGGTCGGTTCTGACTCTCTGGTATACAACAACGAAAACATAGGGAGCACTGGTGACATAGTCCATTAGAAATTGCTCTGCTAACCCTAAAGGTGGCACCTCTCTGGTGGTTTGTACTCACGGGTGACTCCATGGGAGCAAGATGTGCAGGCCCCTCCCGTGTGATTTACAGCCTCTGGAAAACCCATTGGAAGGTTGGCTCTCAGTCAGTTCCAACTTGACAGCAATGAGACAAGAGAGAGAAACAATATAACTATAGGCCTGACCGTGCTTCTGGGCTTTCGTATGTCCTCAGGCCTTCACAAAATACACAGCACAAATACAGGTAGGAAGGGAGAAACTTTTGAATCTTAAAAATGGTTTCCAGCTGTTTGGTACCAGAGAAGTTTCTCTGGTTCATTCTTAGGTCTCAGGTATCAGTATGTTGTGCAGAGGTAGCAGCCATATTCTCATAAAATAATAGCTCAAATTTGTTGAGCATTTCCTTTGTGCCAGGCACTATGTTGAGTCATTGCAATGGCTTTTCCCCCCATTTTATTCATTTTAACTTCAAAACAAATCTATGAATTAGTTGTTATTCCTGTTTGAAAGAGGAGGAAACTACTTTCAAAGAAGTAGTTGCCTAAAGCTGCCAAGATTGTTAGCTGGAGAGCTTGGATTTAGGCTGTTTAATGGGGAGCTATTGATGACTTAAGGGACTCTTAATCATTGGACTGCATTGTTATCTGACTCTTGAGGACACCATTAGAATGCACATGTTGTCAGGGAAAGAAACAGGGTTGACAGGCTGTGATCTGGTTGGTATGGGGCCAAGAATTATAAATTATCCTTGGAGAATTTACCTCATGAACTCTTTGTTCCCTTTTAGGAGACAAATCATGCAGAGTTAATGGAACATGAGGCATCTCTGAGTAGGAATGCTCAAGAAGAGAAGCTGTCTTTACAGCAGGTGATCAAGGATATAACCCAGGTACTAGTGAGCCTCTTGTTCTTGGAAATCACTGCTCTCCTCCACGGTGCCTAGCTTTCCATTCTTCTATGGTGTTTGACCTCAAGGAGCTGGTCCTCTGAGCGTATTTCAAGACTGGAGCTCTAAGGAAGAGAGCTAAGCATTTATGTCTAGACAGACCATCTTTCCTGTTGCCAGCTACAGTTCTCAGGTCGGATGCTGGATTCTGGTTTCCACAATTTCATTAGCCTTCTTCTCCTTCTTCCTTCTCTTCTGTTATTTCATCAGAGTGTGTTCTAGCCCTAAGTTTAAAGGACCAAAGGTGGCAAATTGAAGGAGCTAGATTTATTTGCCCTTAGACATCCTCTCATACCCTGTAGAGGAAGGAGTTGAGAAGAGAAACATTGGCTGTGTCCAGATTGTAGAATAAGTCCTTTGTATGGACTCTCGGTTATAGTCAGTAGGGTTGTAACATCTTTTGTTGGTTTTCAGGCCATGGTGGAAGAAGAGAGCAATATGACACAAGACTGTGGTCAGGAGAACTCCTTGGAATTGGATTCTAATGGCTTCTCCTTCCAGCTTGATTCACAAGACCCAGACAAGACTCTTAATCTAGTACGTTCAGTACTGACCCAGAGACGCCTGGCTGTGCAGGTGAGAAGCCCCACCATTCTTCTTCAGCCGCTGGAATAGGTAATAAAAAAGGATTACTTGAGTCCCAAGTACCCCAGCCTAGACTGCCCCTTTCATTTTGTTGACTGGTCATGATGTGTTTTATTAACACATCAGAGAGCTCATTAAAGTCTGTGTCTGTCTGTTTTACTTGTGGCTAACAGACACATTCTCCTGGCCAGTGGCTCACTCCACATTGGTGGCTGTTAGGTGCTGTCAGGTCACCCCCAACTCATAGCAACCTTATATACTGTAGAACACATAGCAACCTTATATACAGCTTGTCCTTGCCGCTCTAGCTCTTTGTCCGTCGTTGGGACTTGGGGCATTCCCCCTTTGGCCTTGCGCTCTAGTTCATCAACCAGTTTTTGCTGCTCTTTTTCCTCACAGGACCTGCAACAACAGCTTTCCCACTGTCATGAGGCTATGAGCTACTTGCAGCTACAGCATAACCGGTGGGAGGAAGAGGGCGAGGCCTTGCGCCAGCGGCTGCAGACACTGACTGGAGAGCGGGACACCCTGGCAGGGCAGACGGTGGACCTCCAGGGAGAGGTGGACTCTCTCAGCAGGTGACTGCTTCCTGCACTCCTTGAGCCCTTGTCTCAGTCCTGACTCACTCATTTATCCATTCCTGTCATGCTTTGCATTGGCTGACGCACTTCTCCACGAAACACCTGACCATACAGGGCCGCCTCATTCTGGATGCTGCTTTTCCTACCCAGGAAAGATTTTGGGTCCCAAGGTCTCGGCTCATCTCCAGCTTCCTCCTACTTGCAGGGAACGAGAACTCTTGGAAAAGGCCAGGGAGGGGCTGCAGCAGCAACTGGAAGTGCTGGAGCAGGAGGCCTGGCGGCTTCGAAGGACAAACATGGAGCTTCAGCTGCAGGGTGACTCTGCTCAGGGGGAGAAGGAGGAGCAGCAGGAGGAGCTTCACCTGGCCGTCCGAGAAAAGGAGCGCCTGTGAGTGTGCCCACAGCTTCCTCTCTGGAGCATGGCCTTCCCTTCAGATCCACGCCGTCCCTCACCCTCGCCCACTCTCCTTTCCACTTGAGTAAATCAAACCCTTGCCTGCAGAGGGCTTAGAGTAGTTTATTGCTCCTTCTGTTTTACAAAGATGAATACAGAAACTTCATCCAGCTATTACTAAGCATCCACAATGGACAAGATACCTTGGGGGATACAGAAATCATAGTATACGCTCTGCACACAAGGAACTTTGTCTAGTGGGGGGAGACAGATAAGAAAACAGCTAACTGACATAAGGCTTGATGAAATAAAGTGAAATAGACTATCAAGCTAAGCTTTTGGGGAGGTCAGAGTAACAATTTTTAAATACCACGGGAGTAACCTTTGAGCTGGGCTTGACTTTTTATTATAGTGTAAAAGGACTAAAGGAACAGATTAGTAAAAGAAAGGAGGCAGCAGAGCTTGTGGCACGTGAGAGAAGCCTGGGCTGGCTATAGGGTAGAACTACTGGAATGGAAACCCGAGGAAAGGGACCCTGAGTTTGGATCAGGTAATTTGTGGTTTACTCCTATGACATCATGGCAGGAGCCAGGTAAACACTTAATGTTGACCATGACTCTACCAGTTGAAGAGATTTATAAAGTTGAGATAAAACTTTTTACCTTGAAGGGTTGTGGTAAACTTTAAAGCAAGGCTTGCAAAATGTCAGCATAGAGCCTGGTGTTTGCTAGGTCTTCAGTACCTAGTAGCAAGGACTATAACTCCTCCGTCTTCAGTATGTCCTTTCCTCTCTGGCCCTCATTCCACGTACCCAGTAGGTGTCACTGGTCTTGCAGGACCTTCAAAAGGGTCATGCCTTATGCTCAGAATGATCTCCCAGGTACCAATGTGGAGACTTTGATCTACATAGATATTTATATATTTTTAAATATTTTTTTATAACAGTAATTCATTTATTTGAAGGAGGAGTGGCATCCACTTCCATAATAGCTTGCCTCCGGAAACCCTATGAACCTGGAGAGAGGATGAAAGACACCCAAGTGTTGAGGACTCTCTCCTTCATAGGGTCGCTATGAGTCGCCTGTGACTCGACGGCACTTAACAACAATTCATTTATATAGTTCACAAGTCAAAACTCTACCAAAAAGATATACACAATGAAATCTTATCTCACATCCCCCTCCTCTGATCAATTGCCATTTTAATGAACTTCTTATTTGTCTTCCCAGTGCTGCTTTATGCAAATACAAGCTTCCATTCTTATTTTCTCCAATTTCTTGGATAAAAGAAACCATCCTGTATTTACTGTTCTGTACTTCCTTTTTTTCCCACTTTTCATTGTCTTGGGAAGATTTCCTTTCTATTTTTAAAGACTTTCCTCTTCTTGTCCTTCTTCCTTTCTTTTTTTTTTTCTTTTTTGCCCAGCAGGGTAATTATATTGCTGTTACCTTTTGTGGGTGGTTACTCCTTCAGACTTCCTCTAGCCCCCTCTCTTCCCATGTTAGTCAGGAGGCGCTGGCGGGTCTGGAAGCCAAACAGTCGGAATCCCTCAGTGAACTGATCACTCTTCGGGAAGCCCTGGAGTCAAGTCACCTGGAAAGGGAGTTACTGAGGCAAGAGCAAGCGGAAGTGACTGCAGCATTGGCTAGGGTGCGTAGGCCTCCTCCCCTCAGTTTCTGGGTGGGTGGCCTGGAACAGTGTATTTCAAGGTAAAGGATATGCCACCTGCCTCATCCCTCTCCCTTTAAGCCCTTTGACCCCTCATGTTTCTTGCTTCAGTTATTGGTCTTTTGCTTCTGGCTTCCCTCTCCCAGCATACCCTCTGTATTGGAATTAGAATGAATTTTTTAAATGTATAAATCTGGTAATGCCAGTCTCTCTTTTTCATTTTTTATTGTGGTCGTAAATCCAAGTTTTTAAAGCAAATTAGTTTTCCCTCCAACTATTCATATACCTTTTTCACCCCTCATTTCTTTCTTAAATCCGTTCAGTGATTTCCAAACTCTTCAGTGCCACACTCAAAGTCTATTTCCATCTGACCCAGTCTGTGTTTTTAGCTTTCTCTTTCACTCCAAATTCCCTACTTTAACTTGTTTTTCTTTCTCCTGATGTTTTTGTTAGCTGCGTAAAACTCCTGGTTACACCATGCCCAAAGAAATGAAACACTGCCAGACCCTGCACCATGCTCATAATTGGCTGTAGGTTGTGCCATTTGATTTTTGGCATTTTCCTTGACTACTTTCTGAAAGTAGTTCTCCTGGCCTTTCTTCAGTGTTCCTGCTTAAAACTCTTAAATACATTCTCATTTTCTTCTTGACTCTCTAGTACTTTACATATAGTCTTCCCTTTGCCTGGACTGCCTCTTGCCTCCCTCTTCAGCCAATAAACCTTCCTCATCTCTCAGTCCCCAAGCTAATTGTCAACTCCACTGCCACACATTTTTTCACTTTCTCAAACTGAATAAAATGGCTTCTTTGTGTTCTGACCACAATATGCTTACATTTTCTAGAGAGTCATTCCAGCTGTAGTTGTTGAGTATCCTGTGTCTGTGCGCCTCTGCTGTGTGTCTTTCTTATCAGTGAATGAAGTGAAAACTTGCTTAGAATATAAATAAGGGAGGGAATGACAATGTTAACTGATCTTCCTACAAAGAAAACAACAGGTGTTTGGGGACAGGAGCGGTTTACTATTGCATGAAGACTAGAAATCAGAAACTCTTTAACCCACTTTTGTGTTTAGGCAGAACAATCCATTGCAGAGCTGTCAAGTTCTGAGAACGGCCTGAAGACAGAGGTAGCTGATCTCCAGGCAACAGCTGTCAAGCTCAGCGCCTTAAATGAGGCTTTGGCCTTAGATAAGATTGGGCTGAACCAGCAGCTTCTCCAGGTGAGCAACAGTTTGTTTGACCCCGAGGGTAGGGCTGAGCTCTCATTGAGGATGAGCCAGTGACAGCTGAAGCTGGCACTCATGACAGGGAAGAGTCCCCACACAGATCAGTTCAAGATGGATCTGCTCCCAAATGTAGCAAAAGGAACATTCATAATGGAGCACCAAGCAAAGGCTATAAGAATTGACCTGAAACTAAAGCCACTGATGTCTAGTTTAATTCCAGCTCATAGCAACCGTATAGGACAGAGTAGAACAGTTCTGTAGAGTTTCCGGTGCTGTAAATCTTTATGGAAGCAGACCCCTCTTCTCCTGAGGAGTGGCTGGTGGGTTTAAATTGACAGTCTTTTTATTAACAGCCTAGCACTTAACCACCTGCACCACCAGATCTTCTAGGATTATACTTAGCCGTTAAAAATATTTTCTTCTACACCCAAAACAAAACAGTCTCTGGCCATTAAGGTAAACGACCAGGGCTAGGAAGGAGCCCCGTGCCCTCTGGAAGGAAAAAAATTTGGATTTTTAATCCTGTTGCATGAGATGATAGCCATCACCAGAAAGAAAAAAAAAATAAATAAAAAATCCCTCTAACAAGCTTAAGTCCTAAAGAATCTTCTGTTTATAAGTTATACGTTTAACATGTATTCTCCTCCTTGCTCCTGCTTCTTTGAGCCACAGAAATTCTGTGTTCAATCTCATTGAATTATTTGAGAGCAGGATTCTTGGTC